TCGGTTGGCAAATTAGAATGACAATGAACCGACTTACCTGTTTCTTCAGAATGATATGCTTGCCCTTCCAGTATTTCATCATACCAAGGGCCTGCAGGGTGCTGACGATGTCGTACGAGTCGATGGCCATCTCTTTGCTGATATCTGAAAGACAATATGTAAAAGCGGTGATCGAACAGAGATACACACACTGGCGGCCGTCTCGAATATCACGTTCTACACATGTAAACCCGCCTATATACACAAAGCGCGCACACGTGTTCTCTTTCTCTGCAAGCGGCCACTCTTAAAATAACGCGTCTTGTAAATCGGTCAAAAGCGTGTGGCGTGTGCTCCGCGGCGGTATTGTGTTACCTTTAACGGAGAGTTCCTTGCCCCCGAAGTTGCAGAGGTACTGCAGCAAAACGTCCTTCCAGTAGCTGCGATACGAGATCAAGCCCAGATCCGACAGAGGCTTTTCGGGCGAGCCAATCTTTTTCTCCACCCTGGTCAATAAGTAACCTGCGCAAAACACGTCATGTTCCGTTTTATTCATACATTCCTAACCACTTCGTTACTCGTCGCAGAATATACCACACACACACACACCTAACCTCAAATTGCACCGTTTCTCTTCAATGCGGCAGAATTTTTTTCCCTACTTTTACAGAGTTATTTCGACTTGGATTTTAAATACAATACACTCGATAAATCGCCGCTGATCAACCAATAGAAATCCTTCAACATTGCGAATTGATTTACGTAGTACCAATTAACATGTGTGCCGCGTACACAATTAGCGATACACATGAGTCACCGATAGTGTAACTGTCGTCGAGCAAAACAGAATATTTTTTCAACTCGGCAGCAAAGATAGATCAAAGTGTGGAGCAATCGCTATTTTCAACTTGTAATTCACCACGCGTCGAACGTGTTAATCGTGTCGATTAAATATAAAATATAAAGTTAAAATTAAAATTAAACATAACCCTGTAGAAAAATCGAACTACTATGTAGAACAAAGTGAAAATAAGGATAAAGATAAAAAGAAGTACAAATCGTGTTGGATTATTTCGTTCTGCGGTACGAAGTATTTGACGCGATATTTGAAAAGGTAAAGGGTCAAGAGCGAACGTCATCTCGTTGAAGTAGGACATACTCGGTGGTAACTGTGCGATCGATAAACGACAGGTGAAATCGTTTAAACTAATGGTAAAACTTGAGAGATTGATTCGCAAAGGTCCCCTCTCTGTGTACCGGTGTACCGTTGAAAATAAATTTGTCCTGCACGTGGCGAGGTGGGGAGGGGGGGAGGAGGGACAGAGTGGCGACTCCTCCGAAGCTTGTTACCATTCCCTCCGTAATATCCTCTCATTACTTAGGAACTGCATTACGCCCTTGTGCACGGACCACTAGACGGACTATGAAATTCCAATTCCGCGAGATACCGGCGAAGCCGCATAGGCACAGAGAGACCATGCGCGCGCGTTCACGTGCGCACACATAATACACGTATCCATCCTGAATCGACGCCGCCGCTATAAGCCATTTCTGGTGTCAGTGACCGACGAAGGATGAAATGCCGCGGCGCCAGTGCCGTATCGAAAATAATTTCCACTTGCTGCTCTATTATACGCGGTTATCTCGCTAGAAAACTTGTAAATCATCCTCTATAAATATTTCATCAAAGACCGATGATTAATCACGGTTTCTGTTAAATTGTAGAAAATTACAGACGCTGTAATGTAAAAAAAAAAAAAGAAGAAAATTACAGATGCATCTCTGTCTATCTCTTTCTTTCTTTCTCCTTCGAAAGGGGTAGTCCGACGAGGAAACGGAGAATATTCTACTCGATACAGCACTGGACGATGTCCGGTTGCTTCAGGAGTCTGGTTGAACGTCCGTCATGCCTCGTTTGTCCGATGTATTCTCAGGTATCCACGAAAAATCGCCGGAACGAAGGATCAAGAGGAGGATTCTCCTCGAATAGAGCCTTTTGTGGGAATTATACACGAACGTCTTACATTTCGCTACGTGCAATTCGAACCACGTCCATCTGAAGTGACTTTTGACAGGAAGCGTTGGGAATTCGTCGATTTTAGAATAGGACGTGATAAAATATGCACGAGAATCTACGGATACCGGGAGACGTTTAAGGTTTCCCATTCTTCACCGGCGAACTAATTAACTAATTAAATAAATTACATCGACGGGACGAGCTAAACAGATTTCTCCACGTTTATGGGTCATCCGTTATATCTGTAAGAAGCAGCCACGCGCGCGGCCCGTATTGATTCTGCATCGGTATGCCGTTACTCTTAAAAAGTCACGCGAAAGCATTAATCTGAAAATATTCCAGCTACGTACAGCGGCCGTTTCGGGTGCTTTTAGGACAATTTCTGTGTGGACAGACGTTTCGAAACTGATCATGCTCGAGCATCGATCTCAACGGATTAATATTCGGAAATCGAGGAAAAATGTGTACGGTAGATTTTCTTCGACACCGTTGAAAAGTAAACGGGTTCGAATAGCAGTCGAAGACCGCTTGGTATCTTTTTTTTTCCACAGGAAATTGTAAAGACCTATGATTGACCATCGTTCTCACGTTTCGTTCGAGATAACGACGGCTCTTCCGTTTCCTAGACACGTCGATGTCAATTTCCAGAACATCCGGAAACCGTAAAGTTCAACGACCAGCGGTGGCCAGGCGAAATCCTCGCGGAAGCATCTCCAGTGAGCGGCAACGTTCCCGAAATAACCGCGGAATTCTCATTATCCGAATAATCGAGGTCGAGACGATAACAGTGTCTCGCGTTCAAAGGTGAAAGAAAAGGACAAGGAGAGAAAAAGGAGGAGGAGGAGAAGGAGGTGGAAGAAGAAGAAGAGAGTGCCAGGTGTCGGTGTAGAGGAGTGAGGAGTAAAAGGGAGGCGAGACGATTTTTGCAGAGTATCTGAGGCGGCGAGCCCACGAGGACCGGTCCTGTGTGCCGGGATTATTCCAGGACGTCCCGGAGGCTGAGGGGTTCAACGACCATGCTTTTCCTCCTCCTCCAGCCTCCTGGACCGTGCACAGCCTTCAGAGACCGGAGAGAGGACAGTCTACCCTCTATCTTGGCAGCTCAACCCTCTACCAATTCTTTTCCACCACCTCCTCCTCGCCTATACATTCCTCTCTCTCTCTCACTCCTTTTCTATCTCTCCTTTCCACCTTGCCAGTCTACTACTCTTATTACTACTGTTACTACTACTACTACTACTACTGCTGCTACTACTACTACTACTACTATTACTACTACTACTACTACTACTACTACTACTACTATTACTACGTCTCTGTTCGGTGAAGGTAGCGCGGCTGCTACTACTACTACTACTACTATTACTACTACTACTACTACTACTACTACTACTATTACTACGTCTCTGTTCGGTGAAGGTAGCGCGCATTCATTACGCGTCCGTTCAGTTTGCAGACTTTTGGGATCGGCGTGGATGCTGGCTGGCTGGAGGTGGTGGTGGAGAAAATCGAGCAAGAGGAACGCGGCAACTAGAAGGACGAGAGAACAACGGAGACACGGGGGTTGGAAGGGTGGTGGTTGGTGGTGGTGGGTGGATGGATCGGCGTGACAGGAGCCCGGTCGGGGAAGAGGTTCGTGGACTCTCATCCCTTTATTCCTCCTCCTCCTCTTTCTACGTGGTGCTGGCTGCCGCCGCCGCCGCCGCCGCCGCCGGGCGTCGGTAGCCCTGCCAATCCTACGCCCTACGAGGCTCCCGTGGGGCGAGGTCACCAGAGGTCATGCGATTGCGAGCCCCACACGCGGCTTCCAATCGAACCAGGTGGAAATCACTGCTAGCCCACTGCCTCTCTCTCTACAAGCGGAAGCCCGAGAAGCACGCGTAGGGTGTGTCTGATACCGGACTCGAGGACGATTTGTTCCAACTTTCTCCACGACTGTTGGCTCTTTAATTTATCTAGGATCGAGAACGATCTGCAAATGATCATTCTCACGATTTACGTTTCTATCTTTATTTCTTATCCTCATATTTGCCAAATCCTCCGCGATACGTCCACGTATCAGCGTACAAGTGGAACCAACGAGCACATGGTGGTTCTAGAACTGGTTCATAACTCAGCGAGGAGAAGTTCCAACAAACGGAAAAGAGATCTCGGCTATGTAACGTTATAGCGAATTTCTACAGGAGCGAGAGAGAGAGAGAGAGTGTGGTCCCTCTGTACAGACACACCCCGCGCGCGACCACCAGACGAATACCCCGCCGTCTGCCTGTCCGTGTGTGTGTACGCGAGTCTGCACGTGTGTAGAAGCCAACCACCAGCAGGTAGAGGCAGAACAGGGTTGGTTGGGGGTCGATCGATGCGGCGAGACGCCGGGCGTCGCACTTTCCGCTAACCATTCCACTCCAACCCACGCTGCTGCTCTCCACTATCCGTCACCACTACCACCGCGATTCTTCCCACCACCGGTGGTTCCACCACTGCCACCATCACCACCACCACTACCACCGCCGCCACCAGCCAGCCTAGCTCTAGAGGTAGAGCAGCAGCAGCAGCAGCAGCCAGCACCGAGTATAACGTCTCTCGGTCCGCGGCATCCCCTGCGGAAAAGCTGGCATGGCTAAACCCCCCACCCCAAGGTGTACGATACCCGACGCATAGGACGTCGACCCACAAGCCCAGCCACCTAGCCCCGTGCCTCACCCTCTCCCAACCCCACCTTCTCTGTCCTTCTGCATGGCCACCGCCGACGCGCTTACCCCTACGCGCGCGCGACCCATACTCTCCTGCCTCGACTCGTCGGCATCAATGAAAATGACGTCACGGCAAAAAGCCCACGTTTAATTATCAACTCTACGCGCCGCGGTGTACACGCCGCCCGGCCAACGAGGCAAGCCTTTCCACGCCGCCGAGCGATTCTCTCGTTTTTTTCTTGTTTTTTTCTCTCTCGAGGAGAGACGCCTTACTACCCAGAGTAACTTCTCTTACCATTCCGATGCCCGAGGTTTGTTCTGCTTTTTCTTTTCTTTTTGTTGCTACACTCGCGGTACGATTTAGGGAGGAACGAGGTTTTCGGTTTTTTCATGTTGGTAGGATTGGTGAATTTGATTGGTTTATCGTAGGCGAGTGAACGATCGTTTAGCATGTGAAAGCATCTCTGTTACTCTCCGGCGGAATCGTTGAAGTTCCTCCCCCGTTTGATCTTGGATTCTTTAATCCTTTAGCTTTGAAGTTTAGGGAAATTTCGATGATGATATTGGATAATTATACATGCAAAATGTATTCTTTGGGGGAACTTGAAAATAACGAATCACCTAACCTAACCTAAAAGTAGCGAATACGCGTAATTGAAATTCTTCGTTGCTGGTAATATCTTGAGAGAATCGAAGTGTTGTGGAAAGGAATTGAGGGAAAATGCAAAAAAAAAAGGGATTAGGTGACAGAGTGATTGCGGTCCCTTAAAGGCAGAAAATGAACGGGACTGCAGGGGCGACGCGTGCCAGCCGGACGAGGCCTTTCAATCGCAGCGACCGCAACGTCGACGAGTGGCCACGCCATGGAAACCGCGGAGGCGTTCCTATAAACTCCGGTTCCTAATTCGGCTGTCCTTTCGATTTCGTTCGGAAGAATGTCGTCATCCTGCCGCCTTGGCCACCGCCAAGGCTGCTCTGGCCGGACATGCCTCGTGTAAAAGAAAAGAAAAAAAGAACCGTGCGACAGCATACTCACTAAAGTCGATCAAGAGTCGGCCGTATCCCTGACGTTGATAAGGCGGCAACGTTAGAATGCAGGACACGTTGTAATTCAGGAAAGAGTTTTTTTCCTGCAACAGAACGAGTTTTGCCAATTTTCAGATAGTCGCCTTAGTATCGTTGGTAGATTAAAAAAAAGAGACAAAAATGACAAAATCTTGTTAAACTTCAAATCATTTGTAGAAAATAAAATTTAAGGTTAGGTTAGCTTTCTCGTGTCTACGAATATAAAGATATGTAGTTTCTATGGAGAAACATTTCTAAATGGTTTCTCGACCACTCTATAAAATGAAACACCGATGAAAGAGGTGAAGATAGAAGGGAATAGAGTTTTCTTCGGTTCGACCACGCATAGGATACACAGCGTCTCAAAGGTCGAGGTACAGACGTGTTTACGTGGAATAATATTTTGACCGGCCGCGTGGTTAGCACACTCGACACGCTCTCGTACAGGCTTGTTCAGCGTGTGCAGCAGCCAGATACAATCGTGCGTATTATGACGTTAACGCAAGCGAAATGCGTCGCGACCTTCGTCACGAAAGAAACACAATAGGCTAACGATATTTTGGACAGCACGACGCATCGCTCAAGGAAGCCGGTACATAATATGTTTTATTAAAACGTGACTCCTCTCTCTCCTGTCTCTTCAACCGCCCGCCGTACGTTATATGTACCTCTCTTTCGCTTTTATATCTTTCGACGCGTTCGAGTTCGAATTTCTCGAAAGGTGCACGGTCGATCGAAGGATCGAGTGAAAAGCGAGGACGGTGAAAATATCCCGTTTTAAATATAGATCGCCGCGCTCTCTGCCTCGCGAATGAACACGTCGAATTTTTCGAGAACATATTTTTACCGTGACACCGAGTGGGCGTACACCTACGAACAACGTGCACTCTACGTGTATATCGCCGCCTAACCAGCAGATTAGATAAATTTCGTGTGAAATTACATCTATATACGAAATGTTCACGTCTTTTCAGAAATATTAGCAATAGTTTTTATTCGATACCTAACCTGACCTAACCTAACCTAACCTAACCTAACCTAACCAACGAGTAAGATATAATTTTTTTTGTAACAGGATCGTGGTATAGGTTAAATAACGTAAAATATTTGGTCGATTTTCCATTTTTTATTCATTAATATGTGTCCTCTATGCGGAATTTAGTCTGATCGATTTGATCGTGAAAAATTGATACGAAGTTAAAAAGAACTACTTGCACGAATATCGAAGCACGAAAATTGTAACACACGGCACAAGGTTCTCTACGATTGCACGCTTCATACTTGGTTGTTTCGTTTTTCGATCAATTTCGAGACGTTTTCATGAGCAAATTTACCCGGTAAATATCGGGATGCATATGGAGAGGCAAAGAGAGCGCTCGAAACCGGGGGGCTTTCCGAGCGAATTTAATTTTCATCCAGAGTGGATGCGACGAAAAATAAAAAAAAAAAAAAATAAAAAAATCGGTCCTCTAGAGCGTTAATAGTTAAACGGTGAACGTGACAATCATATCGTGGCACAAAAGAAAGGAAAATCTCTTTCGATCCTCTCTTTCTCTCTCTCGTTGAAAGAGCTGGCTTAATCTTCGACACCGGATTACCAACCATACTTCCACGATAGCATTCATTTTTCATGAGCTGCACGGAAACGTACATACACGCTCAACGAAACTGTGATACAGTTATTCGCTGTTTCTCATTGATCTGCGAGAGTTAACGTGTTCACTGGTCCCGAATGAAAACGTACCATTTACTCCTACGTCCGGAGTGTATGTATTTTTTCTTTTTTTTCAAACAGATCTCTCTCGTAATTAAACGAAATTATTCAAATTTATTAAATGTACACGTAGAAAAAGCTGGATGTATAATAAATGCATACGGTAAATATAGGAATTGAGATTATTCCTAAAGCACGTTGAAACATCGTTTAAAATTCACACTTGAAAAATCGAAGTTCCCCTTTGCAGTGAGAATTCGCCCAAGTTGGAAACGATGGCGCCTCTCGGCATTATGGTCGATTCTTTCGAGGCCATCGCAACGTAGAATCCGTCGTTAATCATTCTACGCCCCTCGGTCCCATTTCGTCGGCCAAGAACGGACCCAGTACAACTCGAACACCCGGTATTTCCGGCCGTGGCAGTCGTGCTGCTGTTGCTAACTGGCGAGTGGGGCAGCAACGGTTCGAAGGACACAACTTGAGAAGACTCGCCCATGCTTGTACGAACCCGTCTACGTATACATGTATCTGTGTTTCCCCCCTCTCTATGGAACGAACAAGGAGCACCGCAGACGGAAGAAAGAGCAGCAAGAAAGAGCCAGAGCAACAAGAGAGAGGGAAGAGTGAAAGCGTGAAAAGGAGAAGAAAGGTCTTGGTGGGCCCTATGAACGAGTCTCGAGTAATAGATAGCTATCTGGGTGGACTATAGCAAGGCTGTAGAGTAGACTAAATGCTAAAACCAAAAACAAAATATGACCAGAGACACGCTTGGCCAGGCTAGATGAACTTTTAGACCAAGTCAGACGAAGAGAAACGAGAGTGGAGAGAGGAAGGATACGAAGAGAAAGAGAGAGAGAGAGAGATAAAGAGGAGAATCTGGGCCCCGCGACGTCCTTGGGCCAGTAGTCTCTGCTTCACTCAGGGACGTCTCCGAGTCCCCACCGTGTTCCACGCAAGAAAGCCCCTTACACATCGCTTTTCCTCTTTTTTCCTCTTTTTTCCAAGGGGCTCTTCGTTCTCTCTTCCATCGTAGAAGCTGACGATGAAGAAGAAGACGACGAGAAGGAACGATTCAACGAAATCGATCGGCCACGCGACTCCGAATCACGGCGCCGCGAAACGAACAGTGTAGCAACTGTGTGTCTGTTTAAAACGAAGAAAATTAGTCTGACGATTTAATATTTAGCGAAGAGTTGAGTCAGTATAGTCTACTCGTAGAAATTTTTGGAAAAAGGAAAGATTGTATTTCTATAGGAAATGTTACGAAATAGTATTCTAACCTAACCTCAAAAATAACTAACGTGAAATTTTGTTAATAAAAAGTACCTTTTATCGTCCAGATTCTCTTCGATTCGATTCTATCCCTTAATAATCGGATACGTTACTAAGAGTAAACGTTGTCACTACTACAAGTTTGCCTAGAAAAAAGGAAAAATAAAGAGGATTATTAGCCGGCTCTCGTTACGTCCGCCACGTAGACGTTCGTTCACCTACGCGTGCTTCTTGCGCACCGGCGTCTCGCCTATGCGACGTGTTTATGAGCACTCGAGGAACGAAGCCAGATACATAGTGCGTACACAGTCTTTAGTTCCCCCGCGTTCCAAAGTCTCTATCGTCGCACGTGTGCCCGGCTAGCGCGCACTTTATGGCACGACGATACGCAGAAAAGGATACTGTCCGATTGGAAGCCTTTTACGATCCACGTTCACGCTACGGGTCTCTCCTTTCCGCGGCTACCACGATCGATAACAGTTGCAATCGTTTCCATTCAGCTGCTGACCAAAAGCTTATCACCCAAAGAAACTTCGCGATTCACGCTCGCTTTGTTCATGATTCTCCCCGTTCCGTAACAGCGAACGAAGAATAGAGAACGGCGCAAAGAGAGTCGAGAGTCAAGAGTCGAGAGTCGAGAGGAGATCGAGAATCGCTTCGAGCTGCAATCGTAACGCGATGTTTCAGAATTTATAGCGATCGAGCTGTCCACGTTCCACCGTTCGTTATTTATCGGAATAATCGCGCTTTTGGCTACCACGATTATGTATCAGCTCAGTCTCTGTTCGTTGAGAACGGGTTACTTGCGATTCCGAAGCTTTTTTATTTCTCTCGAGAGAGGGGAAGAGAGTTATTCGTGCCACGAGGTGTTAATTCGTCGAGGAATAAAGAGGCTTAAAGACGTAGCTCTGTATCTCGGAGGAGAATGCAAATGAGGATAGAATCGACGAGAGCTCGAGCGATAAAGTATACTTTAATTAGAAAAATTTGACGATTTTGAGGTTAGAAGTTATCGTACAGATAGGTAGCAAGGTTAATAGTTGAATTCTACATTAGAGAAACGAATCGAAGAATATACTTTTTTAGTATCAGATGAAAATTGATCGAATTTGAGGTTAGAAATCGACGTGTACGAATTTAACAAGGTTAACGGTGCCTGATTTCGACGAGATATCACAAGAAAGATGTTCGAGCTCTTTCTTATCGCTAAATAAAGTACTTATCAATTTTACGACTAAAGAAAGGTCCGCGATACACAAATTCTACCGCGAGATATTCCATTTTGGTCTCGTTTGCGAATTCTTCGATTGCAGACGATCGGGACACGGTGTGAGCGTCGCTTAAAGGTTACACAGCTCCTCGCGACGGTCACTTCTATATTTAGATGCACCGAGTTTCCTCCTCCACTTTCTTTATACCGAACAAAGCGTTCCTCTTAACATACGGGGTGTACTGGAAGTTTCGTGCACTCGTGCCGTCGCATCGGCACGCAGCAGATTGGCCGTTTTCACGTGCCAATTCCCCTCTAATGACGTGGAAAATTCTCACCTAGGGAAAATCCACGAAAATTCCCCACGAGTAATCGTTCGAGAAAACTTCGTAAATATTAAAACATTCTTCTTTCAACACTCACTTAAAAAATATCTATCCACTTTTTTGGTAACATATTTTATCACCGTTCATTATCGATATAAAATTTCAACCGAGCCACGCCCATTAAGTAAAGACATTTTTATTCCTTTATTTCTATCAAGACGTAGTTACATCTTCGTTATCATTAGCAGAGATAAAACGTGTTTTGTTGAACAGGCTAGAAAAGAAACTGCGAACAATAATGAACCAAGAAACAACACGGTCCAGTGGAGAAATTAGAAACTTGCCGGACCAACACGTCCGAATGAGGTTTTTCCCCGAGTGATGTTGTAAATTTATCAATGACGGATACTTGGAAAAGCAGACGGTCCAACGCCCCTTTAGATCGAAAGGAAAAAATTGTCACCGACTCTCGTCCGATAGAGGTCTGTATATATACTTTGTTAGTAGTCGTTGGTTGAGCGAAAAAATTCAACGGACTTATTAATTATCTTCGTCTCTATGCTCCCTTGGTTCCTTTCGAGCGAACACCACTTTCCTTTTGGCTCGTACCCAACCGTTCGTCCGTTGGCCGGTTCGTTTCAGACCCCTTGTAGATTTCCTGCGTACCGTGCAACGGCGAATCAATCCAACGGACCTTCGTTTGCTCGAAGAAGAAGAAGAAGAAAGGAAGAACGAAGTCTGACCTGACTCGAAGTCGAAATTTTTGTCGGGTGACCAGTCTTCTTTTAGCCCTTAGTCACCGACAAATTCTACAGATAAGTTGAGTCCAAAGGAAATTACTTTGTAACCATTGTACAGTGCTGCATTCCTATGACACGGCCGATCGTAGCAGTTACTCACCTGTTATCTAAGAGTTAATGTTTTCTAGAGATTTTTCCGTCTATAACTCCTTATTATCGTCTACGTCTGAAGAGTGATTATTTGATACATATATATATATAAGGTCAACTTCAACGGAGTATATACAGCAGACTAATCCAAGTTTCTTTCTATCTTCACCACTGGTCATTCACCGAAGACGTTCGAGTTGGAGAATTTCAAAGTAGCCATTTCGAAGCTCGGAACAATGGAGATCCCGCACAATTACACGGCATTGTGGGAAGGAAAGCTCTGCAATCGATATCTGATCAATGCCGCGCAACAACCATGTCTCTATTAATTCCTCCAACAAGTCGAACGTTGCCCTTGTTCAAACTGAGAGAAACACGTTCTTTCTTCTCGAAAAATCTATCTTTCTCATGAAGATTCACTTGGTACCAATCTCTCAACACCTTTCATTATAACGTAGAATTCAAAGTTACTCTACAATTCTATTCGTTATTTCTTCTTCCAGGAGACTTCTACGAAAGCTACGTTCAACCTGATGAACAAAGGTCAAGGTCTAAAAGCTGAAACACCGCTTCCCAGGAACCTGTCCGGCCCACTGAAATTATCATAGACCAAGATGAGTGTCGGCGTGAACGTCTCACGACCAGTGGTCCCCTAGCTTTCACAGACACTTTGTCCACGTAACAGACGAGTAGGAAGCTCAGCAGCAGCCACGTGGATTTTTGCCGACAGTGTCGTCGTCGTCGTCGTCGTCGCCGTTCGTATACACTCGAACGGCTCGAGAAAAGAAACAGGCGCAGGGAGGTGTAAAGGTGGGTACGGGAAACTGGAAACCACCACGACGGTACACTTGCGGCTCTCTACATCGTGGTCGAGTACGCACGAAAAGAGGAGGAGGAGGACTAAGAGGAGAAGAAGGACAGGTAGCAAAAGAGGAGACAAGCTTAGAGGAGAGAAGCTAGTCGTGGCAAAACTCATGACGACGATGAGGAAAACGACATAGCAAGGATATAAGGAGGTAAATGCGATAGAGGGAGAGAGGCTAGAGCTAGAACCAGAAGTGGCTGGTGAAGAGCTAGAGCTAGAAGAGAGAGAGAGAGAGAGAGAGAAAGCTTTTACCCTACCCCAACCTTTCTAGGGACTCTGTGTGTATTCGGCGGGATTTGGTCGTGTGAACAGGACTGTCTGGCATCGATCGACCCCGGTCGGGGTGAGATTTTGCAGGGTGAGGAAGAGAGAGGAGAGGTCGAGGGGAAGTTCGACCGACGTGGTGGATGGGGCGAGCCTACCCCAACCTCTTCTCCAAGAGGCCGCCGCGTATCGTATCGACGACCTCTACTACTACTACTACTACTACTCGTCCTCATACTCCCCATGCTATACCCTACGTCATCCCTTTCCTTTTCTGCTTTCCTGCAGAGTCCCTTTCGCACACCACCACCATCATCTACACTCTCCCTTCCCTACCTTCTCTTCCACAGTCACTCTTTTCTCCTTCCGTCTTTCTCTTTCCTTACGTCCCCTTTTCCTACGTGCCCTCGCACCACGTCTGCGGGATATTTTTAAGGAAAATTGACCGACCCTTTGCGCACTGCCTTTCTTGCACTGGCTTTCCTCTCTTTGTCTCCTTTACGCCGCGCCTTTCTGTCTCCTCCCTTCTCTCTAACTGATTTCTTCCTTCCTTCGTCTTCGTTTGCTTTTTAAGTTTTCTTCCGTCGTGTTTTACAGTGAATTCGGTTTATGATTTTCTTTGAGGAAGGTTTGATAGCGAAATAGACTTATCCTGGAAATCAAATTTCTAGCTATTCAAAGAGACTCTTCTCTGACGTTTACATTTCGCCTCTAACCTCCACCTCTCTCTTTCTCTCTCTTTCATCTTTCATATCTCTTCACCTGTGTAACTCCTGTGTAGCTGATTCTTTCTTTAAATGCAAACGCCTCGAGGGTTCGAATATTTATATATTAGGTAAATCTTCAATTTCCCTGTGTTTTTTTTTCGTTAAATTTGTTTCACGCGTTTTAATGGTCGGATACGATAAAAATCAAGTTTCGAGATACTCATTGAAATCGTTGTACGCGCTTCTTCGTGGAACGGAAAGGACCACTCAGACGAGGGGAACAAAATCGCGAAAATTTTCAGAACAGCATCATCCGGCTTCGTTTAAAAATTCCCCTCGTTGATCCTCTGGCTCTTGGATGCTTCCTTTTTTCCCTTTTTTCTTTTTTTCGTGATCCTTCACGTTCTCTCTTCGCTTTCATTCGTCTTCGTATACTCTACCGGATCCTCTCAGAGGTATATAAACGTTGTCAGATCCTGTCTATTTATTGCGTTGCAAGCATCGCTCCTGCGGTCCTTGGTCCTGCGAATCTCTTCGTGAACGTACAGATAGCTTCTCTCTTAATCCTTTTACCTCTTCTTCTTCTCTCTCTCTCTCAGAAGGTACCGACTCGTTCCATTTCTGTATGCATTAATTATTATTCAGGACATATACACTGAAACGGTTCGTGACGGGCTAACTGGCGCACCACCGGAAGTTAGGCAAACCTGAGTCCTGAGTGACTGTGGATCGCAGAGTCTCCACGGATACACCGTCTACTGATTCTCATCGGCTCTTTCACCAAATTAAACCGTCATCTTCCTGAAACCTTTCAGATATTCTCTTGCCGAAGAGGCAAATTACTTATCGATGTCTACTTCAAGATATACAGATTCTTTCAACCAAGATGGTTATGAAAATCATATCTTCGTTGCTTGTTAAAAATGACGAGAAAATTCCTTTTCACACAGAGAGGATCATTCTGACTAATTTCACCGTTCTTTTCACATATTTCAATTGCAATTCTTTGTAATATCGTTACTATAGTGGAGCATCTGGGTAGTATCGATATTTATTCATTTATTCATTGGTAAGGAAAACGGAAACACTTGGATCAGAGTCCTGTTCACCGTGTTTATTTGTCGAATTTGATAGGGCAACGTGATTGGAATACAGCGGACGTGTCTGCCGCCGATTTATTCCCGCTTTTAAGAGACAGACTCCCGGTGTCT